CTATTTGCCAGCATTTGGCCCATATCCCTCTAAACACTTCCTATTCACATACCCTTCCAGGTGCCTTTTAAATGTTGTAATTGCACCAGCTCCACCACTTCCTCTGGTAGCTCATTCCATACACGCACCATCCTCTGCTTGAAAAAATTTCCCCTTAGGTCCTTTTTGAATCTTTCCCCTCTCACGTTAAACCTATGCCTTCTAGTTTTGGACTCCCCCGCCCCAGGAAAAAGACCTTGTCTATTTACCCTATCTATGGCCTTCGTGATTTTATGAACCTCTAAAGGTCATCCCTCAGCCTCTGATGCTCTAGGCAAAATAGCTCCAGGCTATTCAGCCTCTCCCTATAGCTCAAGCCCTCCAACTCTGGCATCATCCTTGTAAATCTTTTCTGAACCCTTTCAAGTTTCACAATATCCTTCCTATAACAGGGAGACCAGAATTGCATGCAGTATTCCAAAAGTGGCCTAGCCAATGAGATGTACGGCCGCAACATGACCTCCAAACTCGTATAATCAATGCAGTGACCAATAAAGGCAAGCATGCCAAACATCTTCTGCACTATCCTGCCTACCTGCAACTCCACTTTGAAGGAACTATGAACCTGCACTCCAAGGTCTCCTTACCATTAAGTGTGTAAGTTCTGCCCTGATTTGCCTTTCCAAAATGCACCACCTTACATTTATATATGTTAAACTCCAGCTGCCACTCCGCAGCCCATTGGCCTATCTGATCAAGATCCCGTTGTACTCTGAGGTAACCTTCTTCGCTGTCCACTGCACCCCCAATTTTGATGTTATCTGCAAACTTACTGACCATACCTCCTATGTTTACATCTAAAGCATTTCTATAAATTTGTTTTAATTGTTCTAAGAGAGTTAACTTTCTGAGAGTTTCATATGTGGTATTTGCTCCAATACCCATATCCACCAGTCAAAATAACTTTTCCCAGGCTATTTCCTCAAGTTACAAAATTTTAGCCTCTATGTTTCAGGGACTAACTCATAAGCACCCGGAATAGCCTATTATATGGCATCATAATCCATAGAAACCTTCTGTGACTGTAATGCATAAATTTCAAGTGCTCTTTCTGTCAACTTGTTTTACTTGGGCAGTATCCAGTTTTCATTTCACTTCCAGTTCAGTTCAGTTTTTTTTATCTGTTTTGCTACTTTTCAAACAACAAGGTATGCCGGCACATCCTTGTCCTGAAATTTTGATTAGAACTGCACAAATTTAAACATTTTCTTACTGACATTTAGATTATAGCACAGGTTTTCCTTATCAAAATCTTCCTCTGAATCTGAGGATTCCTTTTTCAACCAGTGGCTTTTTAAGCCGGTATGCTTTTTTCATAGTCCTGTCTTTATCCTTTTCTGTCTCATGAGTCTGCAATTTTAGCCTTTTAAATCCTCTTTCTCTCACTCACTTTTTCCTCAAGTTCAAGTATTTTCACCTCCATCTTTTTCAATTTCAGTGTTTGTTTTTTCTCCCTCTCAAGCTGCTCCATTTCCCTTTCACGTTCAAGGTGTTTTATTTGTAATTTAATCATAACTATCTCCACTAACTTGCTGGTTGGATTACTTGGCCTCTCTTGGATTTCCACCAAACTCAGCTTTATAGTCGCCCCAGCCTGCACTGCCCAGTTCTACCTGCTCCCGAAGATCCACAAGCCCAACTACCCCTGCCAACCCATCGACTCCGCATACTCCTGCCCCACTGAACTCATCTCTTCCTACCTCAACGCCATTCTGTCCGCGTTGGTCCAGGCAGTCCCCACCTACATCTGGGACACAAACCACGCCCTCCACCTCTTTGGTAACTTCCAGTTCCCTGACCCCCAGCGCTTCATTTTACAATAGACATTTGATCCCTATACACATTTATATCCCACAAGGACGGCCTACAGACCCTCAGTTTTTCCTCTCCAATAGACCCATCCAGATTCTCCCCCCCCATACCCTCTTCCTCCTCACTGAACTAGTCCTCACCCTCAATAACTTTTCTTCCAATTCTTCCCACTTGCTCCAAATCCAATGGGTTACTATGGCCACTTACATGGGCCCCAGCAATGCCTGCCTGTTTGTAGGTTTTGTTGAACCGTCTGTCTTCAGTACGTACACTGGCGCTGTTCCCCAAATCTTCCACCATTGCATCGATAACTGCATCGGTGCTGCATCCTGCACCCAGATTGAACTGGAGCAGTTCATTGACTTTGCAAACAACTTCCACCCTGCCCGCAAATTCACTTGGTCTAACTCAGACACCTCCCTCCCCTTTCTTGGCCTCCTCATTTCCATTTCTGGCGGCAGTTTACGGACCGACATTTACTATAAACCCACAGATTCCCATAGCTACCTAGCCTTTTCTTTCGTTATTCAATCATGGGATTAGGGTGTTGCTAGCGAGGCAGCATTTATTGCCCATCCCTAATTGCCCAGAGGGCAGTTTAAAGTCAACCACATTGCTGTGGGTCTGGAATCACGTGTAGGCTAGACCAGGTAAGGATGGCAATTTCTTTCCCTAAAAGGCATTAGTGAACCAGATGGGTTTTTCCGACAATCGACATTGGATTCACGGTCATCATTAGATTCTTAATTCCCGATATTTATTGAATTCAAATTCCATCATCTGCCATGGAGGGATTTGAACCTGGGTCCCCAGAACATTATTTGGGTTTCTGGATTAACGGTCCAGCAATGATACCACTAGGCCATTGCTCCTTTTGGGAGACTACACTTCCTCCCACCCTGTATCCTGCAAAAATTCCATCACGTTTTCCCTATTCCTCTGTCTCTGTCGCATTTGCTGTGATGAGGAGACGTTCCACTCCCAAGCATCAGATGTCTGCCTTTTTCAAATAATGCTCTTTCCTCCCTCTGTCATCCAGATAACCCTGCATTGCACCTCCTCCATTCCCTGCTCCACGACTCTTAACCACCATCCCCACCAATAATAATAAAGATAGGGTACCCCTTGACCTCACTTTCCACCCCACCAGCCTCCGCATCCAAGGTATCATCCTCAAACACTTCCGCCAACTTCAATTAGACCCCTGTACCGAGAACATCTTCCACTCCCCACCCCTCTCTGCCTTCTATAAGGACCATTCCCCTTTGCCACTCCTTAGTTTATGCCACACTCCTCACCAACCATTCCAATCTGCCGGGCACCTTCCCCTGTAACCATAAAAGATGCAACACCTGCCCACACACCACCTCCCTCACCTCCATTCAGGGCCCTAAACAGTCCTTCCAGGTGAGACAGAGCTTCACCTGCATCTCCTCCAACCTTGTCTATTGCATTCAGTTCTCCTGATGTGGTCTTCTCTACGTATGTGTGACCAAATGTCGACTAGGTGACCGTTTCTCCAAGCATCTTCACCTGGCCCACAGCAGCCAACCTAACCTCCTAGTCACTGCCCATTTCAACTCCCCATTCCACTCCACCTCCGACATGCCTGTCCTTGGCCACCTCCATTGTTGCAGCGACTCGCAACACAAAATTGAAGAACAATACCTTATCTTCCACTGGGCACCCTACAGCCCAGAGGACTCAACATTGAGTTTTCCAATGTCAAATAACCTTCCCATCCATCCCCTGGCTCCTCTTCCAGCCCGACCTCCACTCTTCCATCCCACCTTCTGACCCTGCCTTCCAACCACCAACTGGATTCATCCCTCCCATTGACTAAACAGGTCATACCTACTACCAGGGTCCACCTATCTCTACCATTCCGCCTCCACCCCTCTCTTTATCTGCAGCTCCCCCTACCCCTACACCCAGTCCTGAAGAAGGGTTTTACCGAAAACTTTGACTGCTGCTTTCCTCCAGATGCTGCCTGGTTTGCTGTGTTCTTCCAGCCTCCTGTTTGTTCACCTTGGATTCCAGTATATGCAGTTTTTATTTGTCTTGAACCCTGTTAATTATATCTGCCTTCTTAGCTTTACAGGAAATTCCCTTTTTAAACTCCTTTGATAATTCAGATTTCATAAATCTTGTTAAACAATCAGGGATACCTCCACCTTCTCGAGGATCGTTTTAGCTACTTCCAATGCCATTATTTATTGTATGAGAAATCTGGTATCTGCCTTTTATCCTTTGCGATATAACATTAAGTCTCATATTGTCTCTGTTCAAAGAATCAAAATGAGGTCCCAAATCTTTGTCGTGACGCTGATGGGACGAGTGCACTGAAAATCAAGCCTCACTACTCCATGAGCCATTACAAATGTGAAATATGATTATTTATAGTTGATGCTGACCACTATCAAAGATAAAATAAATTCGCACCAGGTTTCATTAACGAATAGAAAATCAAAGACTCATATCAAACTTATCCTTAAACATGTATCAACGTGAATCAGTAATAATAATAAGCAAATTTAAACCATGATACCTTTAAATCCAAACATGCACATACATTCATTCACAAATATAGGATGGACGAGAGACACAGTTTGCAAGAAGATTGTGGGTGGAAATTATAAGCGAAAAGGAAAAGAGTTTGTAGATCATGAGTCAAACCACAAGGAGAATGATGTGACTTTCTCACTGCTCTTTTTTTTGTGGTAAGATATTGTTGCTCGTTACAGTGATCCTCAGTTTGGTAGCCGGAAAATTCTCTTTGCAAGTCTTTTAAATGCTGCTTTCTTCCACTTTCAGATCCGGCTTTCTTGCAAGCTTTTGGAAGTTTGAGTACCCTGCCCTCTTCTCTCAGTTTTGTGACAAAATTGTGACTTAAAACTAATGCAAAAGCTGTTGCTGAATAGTACTTTATCCAAAAAATGTCTGTTGGCAGTGTATCCCATAAAAATATCAAACCCAACTTCTCAAATGCTGTTTGTACCCAATAAGTGGCTCCACATTGTTCCACTTTTACTTGGTCATTCAAAGAAGCAACTAGTTCTTTCCCTACGGCACAACATTCAAAACTCATTTTCCAGTTTCTATATCAAATAAAATATATAGTGCTTACAACTGTGCATTTATGTCCACAGCTTATATCCTCCTGTGAAAGTGATGATGAAACATGTGAAATTCCTTTTGACAATGCAGCTACTATCTATAGCAGGTAGGTCACTTTCGAGTTTTGTTGCAGTTTTATGATTATATATTGAAGTACTGTTAATCGTGCAATAATATTTTCTGTGCAACTCCTTAATGTAATCACACAGGGAGAAATTAAATGTGACATCATATGTATTATAATGATTAAGTTGCACAACTTCAAGTTTAAATTCATTTTATAAAGAAATGAATATGGTTTCACAGACTCTCATCCAATATTTAGGAAAGATTACACTATTATTTAAACAGTTATCTTTTTAAAATTTATTCTTTCACAGGATTTGGGTACTGCTGGTTGGGTCAGAAATTTCTTACCCGTCCCTTATTGTGATTAAGAAGGTGGTTGTGAGTTGCCCTCTTGAATCATTGGTGTCCAAACGGCATAGGTATAAAAACTGCTTTTGTTGAAGTTTCAGGATTTTGATTTAGCATCAGTGGAAGAATGGTAGTATATTTTCAAGTCAGAATAGTTTATGGCTTGCAGGGAGCTGCTTTGGTCGGATTTGTCCCCAACAGCATTAGTCTGGTCCTCTGGGTGTCTAATTCGGCAGGTTTGCCATTACAACAATGCCTGTCTTAAGCAAGGACAGCTTCCAAGCTGCTAACTCTGAACACTATATAAATGCTTGGAATGCATCAAAGAAGTAATGTGGTAAGAAGATCTTATAGAATGTAATAGACATCACTCAAATTCTTCCAGTTCTCTGCAGGAATAAAAAAAAATAAAAATGGAGAAGATAAGCTGTGAGTGTGAACTTGGAAGCAATATCAAGATGGACAGCAAGAACTTCTTTAAATATATAAAAAGGAAGGGAGAAGCCAAAGTGAACATAGGCCCCTTAGAAAAGGAGACTGGGGATATAATCAGGAACCAAGAAAAAAGTAGTTGAAATAATTGTTTCCAGTCAGTCTTCAGAGAAGAAGATGCAAATACCATTCCAAAAATGTGTAATCAAGGGACCAAGGAGGAGAGGAAATAAATTCAAGAAATATCACTTAAAAAGATGTACCAGGGAAACTAGATAACAAGGTGTACATCTGGATGAACACAGCAGGCCAGGCAGCATCAGAGGAGCAGGAAAGCTGATGTTTCAGGTCTGGACCCTTCTAATTGGGTTAAAGACTGATAAGTCCCATGGACATGATGACAAATGGCAATGGATGTTGGATCAGTTGTTAATTGTAAATCTGAGATAGACATATTTTTGTTAAACAAAGTTAATGGATATGGACCAAAGACAGGTTTGTGAGTTAGGCCACAGATCAGCCATGAACTCATTGAATCGTGGAACAGATTCAAGGGGCTGAATGCCTACTCCTGTTCCTATGCTCCTATGAATGCATCTGTGGACTTTAAAAGAAATAGCTACACAGGGAGTGGATATATTAGTGGTATTCTTATAACAATCCTTCAATTTTGAAAAACATCCGGCGAATGGAAAACTGTCACTGTTAACACCTTTACTTATAAAAGGGAAGCCATGATATGGAGATGCCAGTATTGGACTGGGGTGGACATTTTGACCTTCTAAAAGGGCAGTGGACAAAGAAATATGACTATCAGCAAATTAGCTGAGCATCTGTCATTAAGAAAATGTTCAAGTCTGTTAAAAAGGATTCAATAGCAGAGCATTTACAAATACATAATATGATCAAGCAGAGTCAGCATGGCTTCGTGAAGGGGAAATCATAGTTAATAAAGGGTGTAAACCCAAAACATCGACTTTCCTGCTCCTCTGATGCTGCCTGACCTGCTGTGTGCCTCCAGCTCCACACTGTTTTGACTCTGACTCCAGCATCTGTAGTTCTTGCTATTTCCTGATGACTGATTCAGTCTTACTTGATATCTCTGGCTTATTAAGTAAAAGTTACAGAATACAACAACTGTTGAAGGAAAGGTAAACTGGTTTTCTTCAGGCATAAAGTAGGTTTTTCTACAGTGTACAACACCTGGGCTGGTGTTGGTTTGTAGCTCCAAGCTGTTCAACTACCTGACAACCAATCACATGGTTGGCAGGCAGAAGACCTTTGACATTGATAACAGATCACTAGCCCACAAACCATTCAGCTTCTTGTCGCAAATCAGTGCTCCATTTGTGCACAGCCCCTTGGCAATGAGTGCCAGGTTATTTGCTTTTCAAAACATGCAGCAGTCCTTGCAAATCCTTACAAACTGTTTTTAAAACAGTTCTTTCTCATTTCAGTCCACAAGTTTAAAAGCACAAAAATTAAAGTCACTGATAATTACAAGTGTTGGGCAGCTCTTTCATATCAAGTAAAGATAGAAATAAGCAGCACAGAAATAGGCCATTTGGGACAGGCAGACAATGTCACTCTTTATTCCAACCTAACAAGCAAGTAAAAACATATTTTCCCAAATTCTCTACCCTCTTTTCTTTCATCCACTTATTGAATCTCATTTTAGTAGTTTCTGCTTCAACAATTAAAGAGCTCAAAGCTCTATCTAAACATTATTCTAACTGACATGCTAACTTCCTTCTGGAAAAGCAAGCCAAAATGCCACTCTGGTTCAGTGTAAACACACAGCTTGTAAGAAACTGCTCAAATCAAATTCATTAAGTCATTTTATATGTGTGGGTGACTTTTTTGTGTATTAGAGATAGATTACCTCTTAAAATATAGGTTTAAAAGGACAAGATATTAACCTGCTGCGAACCCCAACTGAGAAGTTCATATTTAATACAGTGGTAAAACTAAGGCTAAACTAGTCTTTATCTTAACCAAACAAAATATCATCAATATTTTATAGCAAAGACCTTGAAACCATCGGGAAGTGGGGAGGTGGTGGGGGTGGGTAAATTCCTGTGAATAATTTTGATTTACTGTCATGAGTGAATTGGTTGAATGGCCTTGTTTCACTCGCACTTGAACTCCTGTGTTGGTACATGTTCTTTGTTTAATTATCAAATTCACAAACCCTTGAAATAATGTATCTGCCAATAAATAAAACACAACCGATTAAGTAAGTGCGTATTACATTTTGAGAAGTTATGAAGTAAAGTAATGGTAATGTTTTCATCAAATAATGTTATATAATGAGCTGTAAATTAGATTGACTTAAATCCCAAGTTTAAAAAGTTGTTCTCAATTGAGAATAGAGATTTGGAATCATTAATGGGTTTTGATTTTCTAGTGTTAACTATGTTTTAAATTCCTTACTTGTATGATCATTGGCAAACCAACCTTTTTCCTATTCCTTTTGAAACATGATCTTAAAGATGAGCATCTTCACCAATGTAATACAGTGACTCCCAACATAATTTAATCTCGTAGATTCAACAAACTACACTAAATAAATTTTCAGTAATAGTTACTAGGTGTTAACCAACAAGTCCAAATATTCTAAATAGTATAAAACAAAGAAATACAGATGCTGGAAATCTGAAACGAAAACAGAAATTGCATGAGAAACTCAGCAGGTCTGACAGCGTCTGTGCAAAGAAAGCAGAGTCAGTGTTTTGGATCCAATAACTCTTCAATTAACCCTGCTTTCTCTCTACAGATGCTGCCAGATCTGCTGAGTTTCTTCAGCAATTTGTTTTGTTATTGTAAGTAGTAGCTCTGTCTCCCTGTCCACATACATACCACTTGATTTGAAGGGTAAGAACAACTCTAACTTTTGAAAATATGTAAAGATCTAGTGAGTACAAGTGAGTCTACTAGTTTTATATATTGAGAACCTCCTTGGATGATTGCTATATTTGTAAAATTATTGTGACATTTATTTCAATATTCTATTTTAATAACACCTTTCATAGAACAACGTGCATTACTGTGCTTTGTAACTTAATGCAAAATAAATAAAATTAGAAAAAAATGAGGCAATGAAATACTGAATCCCCTTAGTACTGAGATGGGAATTATTAACAGCATTGGGTTCAGTTGAAGTGGGTTTGAAGAGGAAGTAGAAGTGAATTGAAAAGCAGTATGGGCCAGGATACATCAGGAGAACACCAGCCAATACTTAGGCAGAATATTCATACGGTTGGGGTCTTTGCAGTGCTTTAATGTTGAGGCGGTGGCAAAGTGGCAATGTCACTGTAATAGCAATCCAAAACCTGAGACAAATATTTATTAAGGAAGGAAAAGTATACGATCCTTACCTGGTTTGCCTCTATGTGACTCCAGACTCTCAATAATGCTCTTAATTGCCCTCTGGTCAATTAGGGATGGGTGATAAAGTGTTGACCTGGCCCACAGACAACTACATCTATTAAAAGCATAAAAATAATTGCTGCTCAGATATGATTTTTGAGCATTTCAAAGCTATGTATTTAAGTGAAGTTCTGTTTGTTTTCATTTCTGGGATCATTGTTTGAATTTCTTGTTTATTTCTAGCTTAACCAATCACATTTGCCTCTAGATGAGCAAATAAATCAGACATACGCACCAACCTTGGCTCCAAACTGAATTTTTAATGAACTGTTGTGGCATTTTGTATTACATTAATTGTGTTTTAACATATATTTAATGTTTGAATAATTTACTTATGAAACTTTTAACAGATGGCATTTATTTATTGAACAAATTGACATCAAAATTATAATATTTCCAATCCTCTGGCTTTGTCCAGCTTTTTGCAGCAGACTAACAGCAAAGATTCATAGAAAATATTTAAATATATACAAGAATTTCCAGAAACATCTCAGTAGCAAACCCTGTAAACCACTACCACTGCCATTTCTGTTTGGTATTCATATTGGTGCCTCACTAATCCTGTCCTATTCTTTACAGTAGATGGATGCTGGACCCCACCAGAGACAGAAGGCAGTTGAAGAGCTTGATTACATCATAAATGCATGTTCCATAATATTTTATTATGGAATTCTTTGTCTCCTGTTGAGAAATATCACAGTTCCCTCTTACTCCCTTCCCTACCCCTCCACATGTTGATCAAAGTAGACCCCTTCAGTTACATCTTAATTGGCAATGACAGTCTTTCTATAATTTCTCAAACCAGCACCATAACCTGGAAGTCTCTGC